AATGTCGAGATGGACGTGTGTGAATTGAGCATCAGGAACGGCAAATGAACCGATAGGTGAGTTCGTATGCCGAGTTACTTTAGTGCGTTGACAGGCGATGCACTGTTTGGCCCAGGATGTCACGTCCTTATTCATGAAAGGCCATACAAAGCGTGCACTAATAAACTTTCTGGTTGCTCTGATTCCTGGATGAGAAAATCCATGAAAGTGGTCGAAAACAACGAGTCGAAAAGCTTCGGGGACGATTGGGCGAGCTGATCCGGTAGACATATCACAAAACATGGTTCCGGATTGGAGGGCTAACGGAATTGAAGAGACTTGAAATGAAGGGAACGATAGAATGGGCAAAAAATTAGGATCACTGTTTTGCAGGTTCGCCAGCTTGGCTAGGTCCAGCTGCGTAGAAGGGTGAAGGGCGTTGATGTCGAGACGGGATAGGGCATCTGCGACGACATTTTCCGGACCTGGAGCGTACCGAATGTCGGTAGTGAACTGTGACTTATAGTCGAGATGGCGTATCTCGCGTGGTGAACATCGATCAGGCTTGGCGTTGAAGGCATAGGTGAGTGGCTTGTGGTCGGTTTGAACGGTAAACGATCGACCCTCTAACAAGTGCCGCAAATGGCGAATGGCAAGATAAATTACGAGTACCTCACGACCAAAAGTACTGTAACGCGTTTGGGCAGCCTGCATCTTCTGAGGGAAAATCGCTGGTGGTTGAGATGTGTTGTTAACAACTTGATGAAGTGCGGGCGGCACGGCAGCGTTCGAAGCATCAGTTGTCAAAATCAGCTTTGTGCTTTTGTGAGTATCGAGGAAAGATAACTTTGTGGCCTGAGCAATGGCTTGCTTGGCTCTTTCGAAAGCGGCAATGGCGGCGGGGAGCAAAGTAACAGATTTTTCTTTAGAGCCAAGTAAATCGGTCAGTGGCTTCAAAATATCTGCATAGTGAGGGATGAATCGGTGGTAGTAGCCGATGATGCTTATGAAACGACGAAGTTGAGTGAGAGTAGTGTGTATGGGAAAAGACTCTAGGGCCAAAGTGCGATCTGGTAATGGTGAAATACCTGTGGCGTCAATGTGGTGGCCAAGAAAATCCGGGTTAGTAACACCGAATAAGCATTTGCCAATGTTCAAACGTATGTTGTAAGTGAAAAACGTTCAAACACTGCTCTGAGATGAGCTGCATGTTCAGCTGGGGCGGTTCTAGCGACTAAAACATCGTCAAGATAGGCATACACAAACGGTAAGCGACGTAAAACCTTGTACATGAAACACTGAAACGTTTGGGCTGCATTTCGAAGACCAAAGGGCATATGCGTGAATTCGGAAAGGCCAAAAGATGTTGTGATGGCTGTTTTGGGAATGCCATCCGGTGCTACGGGTATGTGATAGTATGCTGTTACGAGATCGAGTTTGGAAATATGTTTGTGTGGCATAGGGTACTTGCGAAATCGTGGATATGTGGGATGGGATACCTGTTTGGGACAGTAGCGTTGTTGAGAGAACGGTAATCTCCACAGGGTCTCCAATCACCTTTAG